GGAAAGCCACTCCTGAAAAGGTTGCCAGGAGAAGTCCATAGATTTGTGCATGGAGTCACCAGGAGTCAAGATTGAATCAAAGCCATTCTCCCTCCCCTACAAAATAGCCCAATGTGCAAACCCAGTCATTCTACTCTTTAATACCCACACAGGCAAGTCTCTGGCCGGACTAAAACAGTTTTCACCAAATATTGAATATTCACTTATGATCAGTCAGCATCCAGAAACTGGTTAAGGGCATGAAGAGGATCGGTGACTATTTGTGAAAAATATGTATTTTTCAGATATAATAAACTATGATAGACTTCTATGATATGTAATTCTGTTTTCCCAACCATGGTGCTCTCCACGTGTTTTCAGTTATGTGTCCCATAATTTCCAATTTACAGATTCTAATCCTACATATCCAAAGATAAACAAGCTTGGAAAACTTAATTAAAGGAATAAATCAGTTTTCTACAGGACAAGTTGAGAAGAACTGGACTTGTTTGTATGAGCATACTTTAGCTAATAGCTATAGCACTTAGACTTATATACTGCTTCACAGTGCTTTTACAGCCCTCTCTAAGCGGCTTACAGAGTCAGCATATTGCGACCAATAATCTGGGTCTTCATTTCATTGACCTCGGAAGGATGGAAGGCTGAGTCAACCTTGAGCCGGTGAGATTCGAACTGCCAAACTTCTGGCAGCTGGCACTACCCTGCAGTATTGCATTCTAACCACTGAGCCACCACTATATCTCCACTGAGCAATCCCGCCAATCTAGACATAATAATGTCTTCAATAGAAGAAGATCCTAAAGGATGCCTCTAGGTAGTAAGTATGTTGCTTATTGAACATTCTTCCAAGTGGAGAATTGACTGTTACAAATACTGTAATAGCCCAAGAGCATAATTAGGAGAGAACAGTGAACAGCAGTGCCTACCTGCTTTCCTTTAATTGAAACACAAAAGATTTCAAAAGGTGAGTTATGGTGTAGCTTCAAAGGAAGCCTTTCACACCTATCTTGCACTAAGACCTGTTAAAATATTTGCTTGCCTGTGAAAACAGTCTAATTACTGAACAAAATTAGGGGTGTATATTACTTTTATCTAATTGAATGTATTATGAAAAAAATGTCTCTTTTAGGAAAGTAGCATAAACACTAAAAATAAAACTTTTATAGTACCTATAAAATAGATGAGAAAATTGTACATTTGCAGCTTAAACTACACAACCTATTGTGCACTGGATTAGAGTACATGGAATGCATGCACTCAAGAGGATGCTCAATTCAGGGTGCACAGGTTTTGACCTGCAGGCCATACAACAACCTCCAAGGGATTTTGTACAGCCTCTGAAGGTTTTCCAGATGTTGTCTCCCATTTCTTCCCCATCTTCCTCATGCTCTCATGACGGCTTATGTCATAATCAATCAAAAAAAGAAAGAAAGCATATATTTATGTAACCAAGGAATCCTCCCTAGTCCATCACAAGCCCTTTCCACATATATTCCAGTCGGAAGGCAATAAATCAGTTCAAATAAATATGAATAGGAACTTTATTGTCTCCAAAATCTTTGGTACCTTAAATAGTTGGCTATGTAACAAACTACAGTAACTATTTAAGCTGAATGATGGGTAAGGTAGCCCTTTCCAAATCTATTTGTTAAAGAGACTGAACCAGTGGTGGGATTCAGCCAGCTCGCACCTATTTGAGAGAACCGGTTGTTATATTTCTAAACAGTTCAGAGAACTGGTTGTTGGAAGAAATCTCGTTTTGTTTTTTTCCCACTTTACAGGGCTAACCCTGTAAGGAAGTCAGGAAGGAAACATTCTGGTGTTGTTTCTAGTCTAATCTTTTTTGCTTACAAAAACTGCCTCTCTGGTTAATCTTTATTACTTTGTAACAGCTAAGGTGAAGCGCCCATTGACTTGAGTGACGTTGAGTTGGCCATGCCCACACAGTCACATGACCACCGAGCCACACCTACCCAGCTGGTCATTAGGGCAGAGAATCGGTTGTTAAATTATTTGAATCCCACCACTGGACTGAACTCAATCCAAAATGACTTATTATGGTCCTCTTGGCCAAGAAATGCAGTGACAGAGCACAGGACTGGTTTCAGAGAACTAAACCAAAGGGAGTGGTATAAATATCTGGAATGAGAGGCTCTCAAAACCTAAGAATTTTTTTTGACAGTACTGTTGGAGTACTAAAGGTACAGTAGCAGCCAGATCATGTGCTTTAAATGGGGGGTGGGGCTTTCTTTGTAGAAGCAAGCTAACAAGATATAAGACATGGAACATTGCAGGATCCAATCTGGGTTGATCACTGGAACTATAGGTTTAGTCTTCTGAGCTTCAGAGCCCATCCTCAGGGAACCTATTTCACACCAGAATGTATGAACTAGGCTGTTCTATGTGTAGTATTTATATGGTGCCTGGCTGTGTGCATCTTTTAGTTGTTACCATAATTGGGGTGTTTGCTGTAGCACAACCAATGACTTAATAGTTGGCCATCAACATTCCAATTACTACACATAGAACAGCCCATAAATACTAAGCATAGAACAGCCCAGTGAGAAATTCCCTAAGTGGGGGAGTACCAGCATGGATCCAAAAGCTCAGAAAACTAAACCTTTGGTGCTGGTGACTGGCTCAAATTGGATCCTGCAACATTATACTGAGACCTGTATATCTGCCTTCACATGGAATTTTCTACCAAGAGGAGCAGAGATGCTCCTCCTTTATCCTACTGTTAATCAGAAGCAAACCACAAAAGTCATCCAGTGTCTCTTCTTACTCTGTAATTAATCTCCAAAAATGGAGCTGTAAACATGCAAGTTTTTACAGAGTGCATACCAAATTGTATATGTACATACCATTCACACTTGATGGGGCACGTACTTTGTACTCAAAGCCCACTCCCTTGTATGGCATCTGCTCCAACTGCTAGCACTAGTGACAGAGTTGAAGACTGGCTTTCTACAGAGAAACAAATTCCTGGCTGCCTCCTACATGAGAATATGAACAACGAATAATTTGCAGAGTGGGGCAAAACATAACTCAAGTCTTTGTACAAGTGACACATGCATAATAAATGCTTTCTATAAACATACACAAAGGGTGCCAGTCAAATATAAGTAATGGTTAAATAATCAACTTGAATCTAAGGAAGAGCAATGTTTCTTTTGATCAGGGTTTCTTTTGATCAAATGAGGAAAATTAAATCAGAAAGCTAGTGTTCTGCGTGCTATGACATAGATTTATGCTATCCTTCAATGCCAAAATAAAAATCCAGAAGAAAAGCTACCGAGTATCAACAGGCTGAGTGTAAGCATTTTTTTCAGCGTGTAGCGAAAATACGAATGTTTAAGCTGGCAAACGACTAGGCCTATGTTAAGTTACTATGACTGTCCAAAATTTTGGATTCAAAAGCACAAAAGGGCATGCTTTTTCCTGCAATTGTACAACTTTATCTACACTGCCATATGATTCTGGGAAAAGCCAATTTGGTTAAAAATGTTGCAGACAAATATAGGTTAGTGCCCTTCCTGTTCCAAAGAACATTTTTGCCATACATTCTTTATGGTTTTTCCCCCCACATATGTGCGTATGAAATAGGATACATTCTTGGCAACATAATTCATGCTAGACATTTTGAAGTATGGCAGAACTCTCATGGGGCAAATTGTGTAGCCAGACGCTTTCTTTAGTTAGACAAGCTCAGGAGATTACACTAGAATGGTGTCTTTATGTATTTAAAATGAGAACCTGGAAAGTAAAAATAAAAGATGCAATCAAAATTTGTTCATTTACAACCAACCTATATGGGAAATAGAATAAAATATGGGAAATTACATGATTTTGAAAACTTATTTACTACAAACATTAACATATTCTTCATATGATTTTGATTGGTTATTAAAAGCAACTAATAAATGCTGCTTTCAGGAGACTGTTTGGGGAAGCCAGTAAAGTATTTCCCACTAATACATTTTCCATGTTCACCCCCCACCCTCACCCCACCCGGGAGATATACCTATCATCCAGACCTCTGGTGACTGGCCAGACAATGTCTGGGACAATCCTCTTCAGCTTGGAAGCAAAATGAGATTTACTCTTCCATATTATTTGTCAGACAATCCCCTGACCTATTCTCTTGCTTTCGAGAGCAAACACAAAGCCCTGAGTGCACCATTTTCACTCTCATTAATTAAAAGCCATCTCAGAAGTCTGTAATTTGACTCAGTCCACTAAATAATGCATTCCCCACATTGTTTTTATGCCAGGGGTTTCAATATGCACATGGTACTCTGCAGGAAGACAAACAGGGAGGTAACAAGAAGCAGGAAAATAGCTTAAGAGAACCATTTGCACTTTTTCAGCTCTTGGGTTGTCTTTTAAAAATGCCTGATTTAAGATTTAAACATTTGGCAACACAAAACTCAGTTGAAATTAGCACATATATGCCCTTATTGTATGTCCTCTTCATACTCACCCAGGCACAAATTAAAGGTATTCATACTTAAAGATGTGAAAATGAAAAGAGAACAATGGACAAATACATTCAAATTCACCTTTCAGCATTATAGACATGTGGAGTTTTGCAAGGATTCTTTTGCACGTTCAGGTACAGAAAAGGAAGCTGTGAACTGAGATCTAAGGTGGATGAGAAATAGAGAAATTGCAACACCTTCAGGTACAGACATCTTTCCTTGGAGAAAGGGGTGCAGAAAAATAGGGCATAATTGACTTAATCTGCTGGGTAGGAAAAAAATCTAGTAGCTGAATTATCTCCATGCAGTTTTGATAGGAGAGTGGGATAGAATGGCTATCATGTGCAGACACAGTGCTGATCTTGCTGAGATTTCTTTTTCCAAATCAGAAAATGATAAGAGCATTGCATGAAAACATTTGTGTGGCACATCGTCCATATCTTTTTGGGTGCCTTTTGGTCACCAGATTTCCATCAACATGCAACATGCAACAGGAATAAGCATCAAGACGACTTGGTGATTCAGACTTTATTGGCAAAAGGGATGCTAAACAAATCTTGTCTGAGGCACAGGGTTGTTACTTGTAAATGACAAAAATGTCCCAGTTTCCATTAACTCCATACTTGGAAATATTCAGAACAATTATTTACAAAATAAGACAAAACTTTTAAAATTTACAAATAATTAAAAGGCATCGATAAAAATGAAAACAAAAACAGAGAAAACAACCCCCAAAGTAGAAGTAAAAAAGGAAGGGGTTCCCAATGAAAATACTAAAAACCACCCCCCAAAAAGAAGTATTTACACCACAAGTTAGCAATCATTGTAAATTTCATCCCTTGCCCACCCCGATTTACAAACTCATGCAGCGAAGAGAAAGAGGCTGCCCTAGAAAACCTACCCAGGCTGGGTTGTTATTGGTTAGTTGCTAGTGTCTGCTTTGTGTGCTGTACTTCATGTGAAAACAGGCCCAGCCTCTATCCAATACTGTATGTGGATAACAACATTAAGAGCTAGGTGGACAGTATCTTTGTTTTCCTGGAACAGTAGGCGCTTGGTGAAGATGGCACAGCCTAGGTGTCAAAAGCCATTAGATTCCTAGTAGCAATTGGAACACACCTTCAACCGGGCATAGGTAAAGAACAAGGCCGTAGGCATGAGATTTGCATGGAACTTGCTAACCTGCCAAATAATTTTCCTCAGCTACCTAGGTACAGATCACTGTTCACTGGTATTGAAGCTAATGAAGTTGAGCTGTAAGCCTGTAGCTCTCAAGACTTGAATATACCGAGTCTCATGTGATCAGAGAATATAGGATCGTGTACTTGAAGTTCTTCTCTGATGCCTTTCCCTCCATTTTGGCCCACTACTCTTCATTAGCTGCCTATTATTCAGGTTTGGCTGTCTAGTACTCAATAAAAATTCATCCAAGAATATCTCAAGCTATTAATGTTTTAAGTTAAATACAGAAAACATCACATTATTTTGCATTTGAATGCAATTAAGGTAAATTGGGAACCGATTCTATAAGAGTGTAAGCAACATCATGCTGGTGGTTTCCCTTTCCATAGGGAGTGTTACATGCTTACTAGCAACAGTTTTAGCAAGCCACAATTGATGCAAATTCCACTGGGATGATGCTTGCAAGCCAACGTCTGATGAAAATGTGTTAGCTTGCAATGTTTGCAGTTTAATCCCTTGCCCCGTCTTTGACCCCCTCCCTTCCCCCAAATGATGCCCATGAGCCTCACTGTTGTTTAACTGGCAATGACATGCAGCATCCTTTGCAAATAACATTGACTTTTATCCGGAGATACTTAAAGGCATTTGGCAGCGTTACTTTTATTTGGATTCCCCTCAATACCCTTTCTAGTCTTTTGAAAGAATCTCCCACTTTGATATTAACAGTTGGTTGCCTTCCCTGAGAAAAATGTGAGTTTATGCACTGATGTGCAAGATTGAGGCTAGCTGTTCTACACCTGAAAATCCATAATTAAATAGGTATATTTGTTTTAGTTATCTTCTACCTGGCTCATCAACCCTAATGTAAATTTAGAGTATACCATTATTTAAAGAAACTCTTTCAGTGTTATAAGGGATTCCTCAGCTGTAGTACTGTTCAAAACATGACCTGTTCAATTAGAAAGCATGATTGAAGAGTTACTTTTAAATACCAAATAAATGTCAGGATTAATATCTGCTTAAAGACAGATAATGGCTGGTGCATGTGGGGTGGGGATGAAACAAACTTGATTGTTTGTAGCTTTTTCTACTACTTCTGTTCCTAGTCTGACTAAGCCACAGGCAGACTCCTGTAAATAATAAAGGTATCAGCTACAAACAGATTAGCCAAGTTAATTTCACTTTTCTGCTTGAATTCAAGAGTCATGCTACCTGGTGCGAAATTGTCAAATTTCCTAACTTATTTTGTTTCCATCTTTCATCTTCAGCTATAGTATAGTAAATTTGCCCACAAGCAAATTCCACGACAGCCACTTATTTCTGAGAAAATATTCACAGCTGAAGCTGCAGGTTACGCTTTCTACAGCACTTTCTTAATTAGGAATAGCAACCTGGACCTTTGAATCCAAATAGGAAGGTAAGCTGCAAAAGAATAGGTAGCCATCATTCAGTGGGCAAAAACTAAGCAAAAACCTTTTTAGATATCCCTAATGGAGTCTCAGAAGAACAATCCCTTCCTAAATTACTTTGTGAATTGAGTCTTCTTCTCTTTGGGTTAATATTTGGTAGGGGCAAAGAATTACAGAATGGATTAGAACATTCAGGAGAACCAAAGCAACTGATATTATCTGAGAACTAACTCAAAGAATTCCAAGTCTCCTAAATGACTTTGTAAGTAGAAAGATACACAACCATTCCACTTTAACTATTAGGGGACTGCTTCTCAGCGAGAAATGCAAAATGGGGCAAACAGCTGATGAACTAATCTCCTTCATTCTCCTATTTGGACTGTGGTCTGGTATTCCTATTAAGGTTACAGCTGAAACGGATGTTCAGTGCAATAGACTTCTAGCCTTTATGGAAGTGAAGACATGCTTAGAAGATGTGGATAATGGAATGGGTGATCCTGGAAACTCTGAGGTGACAGAAGATTGGCTCGGCGGAGTTCTCCAAGGGCTAAGAAAGAGGCCCTACTTTCTAATACACAACCCTCCCCTTGGGGTTCTACTTGAGAATAAATTAGGTAAAATAAATAAATATGTTCAGCATCATTTATACCTTGCAAAATCCAGGTTAAATTGCAAAAGAATTTAGAGTGGGTTTTTATGACTGCAAACATTCACCAGGCATGCCCCCACTCAAAGCAACCCATTAATAACAAGATAGTGGAGACATTTTATTCCTACAGTTCTAATTATTTTGACAGTGAACTGGACTAAAAACTCCTGAATTTTGTCATGCAAATGACAAAAGTCATTTTTTTGCAGTAGTGAAAAATAAAAAACATGAAGTGCAAGATATAAATGAAGCAATGTATTGAAAATCATTCAAAATTTGCACAACTTCTAGAAGAAGAGCATTAGAAAGTGTCTGCAAGGATTTTGAAAGGCAACTTAGTTTTAGATTTCCCAAAGCTGAATCTCAATTAGTAATGTGAAAAGCCAGAAAAAAAATGTTTTTCCATCTTCTCTTTAGGCTAACCAATCATAGTTTGACTACATCTTTATCGGAGAGCAGTTTTGTAAAAAAAAAAAATGAGCAAATGTGTCCTTTTTCATGTGAAAGCAATTGGGAAGTACAGCACATTTTAAAAACTGTTTCGAATCAGAAGTTCCATTTGCAATAGCTGTCAAGTCAAGAGAGAGTTTTATTCTAAATTTGCCATTGACCTATATGCAGGCTATTTGGAACACTAGAGAGAAATTACGCAAAAGTAATCAGGATTCTGTATACCCTACTTTAGGCTAATCTCTGAAAGTGGAACATAGTAAGAACAATTTTGGTTGGGTGAGTAGCCAGCAGTAGGGCTTGAAAATGAGCTGGTTGCACCAGTTGATGAAATTCCCCCAATGTGCCCTGATGAGAGAGGGAGCAGCTTAAGTTGCTTATTTAAAATGTATTTGTTTAAAGGAATTGTGTGGCTTCCCATCTTCAGCCACAACAGCTCGTGTTGCCAACCCCTCCAGTCTAATGCCCCGACCTCCTCTAGTCAAACTATTTGGAGCAGAACTATTAATAAAGGGGCTAGAGAGAATCCATATGGTATGCTGTGCAGCCTTTATCCTGCCCAGATTTCTGACGTTGCAAGTTTCATCCATTCACATGTTCATGATTTGCAGCCTGCCTTTCCTGCTTCCCACAAGCAAAGTCAATGGGGAAGCCGACTGGAAGCTGTGATCACATGAGATCCTTGCTTAACAATGGTAACTAGGGGCTGCCAGAACTGCTGTTGCTAAGCAGCACTGTCATGTGATATTTACAGCACACTGCTTAGCAAGAGATTTCAATCCCAATTACAGTTGTTAACCAAGAACTACCTGTACTGAGGTCACGAAGTGATTTCCTTTTGTTTTAGGGATCCTAAAAAAGACTTACAAGAGCCTGCATTAACAGGACTGTACTACAAATTCAATTGGAGTACTATTTCCCCTTCTGTCTTAACCCTCTGCAGAAAAGGAATGTAAGAATCTACTAGGCAGTAGGTTGTTTAGTGAACGGAGTGTTAGGTAAGACAACTGTGAGATGTTCTGTGCTAAGGTGAATAGCTGCACACAGTCTTCCCAAGAATCTGGAATGTTTTATCAGGCCTGTGCTTATTCAGCTCTCATACCCACACCTTAAAACACAGAAGTCTGTGGATCACAAAGATACTGGCATTTTTATAAGAAAAAGATTGAAATAATTTCTTTTAAGAACTATAGCACCATCACCTGCAGTAGGGAAATAAGGCAGAGTGGAGACATGAAGATTTCAGCATTTCGTGGTTTTAAATTTCCTAGATTTACCCATACTCTGGCCATTCAAGCACAGAAACGGTGGCCAATACTTGTTCTAAACTAGAAAGAAGATACCTACTACCTAAAATCCAGCTCCGTTTTCAGTTGTCACGGGAAGTCTGATGCATAGGGTCAGGAAAACAAGGTGTGCCATGTTTTCCCTGGTGCTTACTGCAGATTGCTAAAAGTGGACAATAAAATGTACTGATCCTTCCCCCCCCCCCAACACACACACACACCTTTTTTTTTTACTGAGACCTGGTGTGATTGTTGGTGTTCACTACACTAGATTAAAATTGGCCAGTATCTAGCAGGCTGGATGCGAGGCTGAATAGTGTTGTAGGCTGATCATGCCTGAGGTTTAGCTATCCATCCTGATATAATGACAAAACAGAATTGATCTGCGTTCAGCTTGCTTATTCAAGCTTATATTAGAGCAGAATTCCTAAGCAAAGCCTCTCCTCAGTCTGCTCTCCTTCTCTCTCTCTCTGTATAAGCATCTGATCCTTGAAAGCAGCATCTCTTAATCTCTGGTGCCTTCTTTCCTACAGACGAAGCAGGCAGTCAGCACAATACACCAGCTCATAATATTCCCCCAATGCCTTTTCCCTTAATGCTGTTCCTAAATGGAAAAAAAGGCATCTCCTTGAATAGGGAAATAGAACTCACTCGCAGGCACGCAAACATCCAACGTCATGAACCACAGCACAGCATTCAGCTCTCACTGCTCAAAGGGGCAGGTAGGAATAGAAAGGTTTCCAGGGACAAGAGCCCACAACCTAGAGAGGCTTTCATTCTGTCCCTGGCTATGCCATGTAGGTTCGGTATTGCAGATCTTCTCAATGAGCTACAAGAAGATAGAAGATATTGCTCCCACCATGAAAGAGCATTATTCCTTAGCTGTGGCTGGCTCAGGAACAGCCAGTCCTAGAACTGCCGAAGAGATTGGTAGCTTCATGGCAGAGTTGTTCTTCCATCATCAGTTGCAGTCCTCTCACTCACTTGAGGGCCCTATTTTCTCCTCCACCCGGCTGCCATCGGAGGGATGCAATTTGCACTTAGAAGGGGAATGTCGGCCAGATGAACGCGATGACCGAGAAAAACAGGAAGTCAACGACTGAGAGCTGCAATCACAAGCAATATCCTATAAAGGGGAGGGGAGAAAACAATGAGTGAAAAGGAACAGGTTCAATTGAAGACTTGAGATGGCGGTTAAGAGCAGGAATCTTCACATTATCTCATCCCATATATCCAGTATGAAATTAGATCTATTTGTCAAAGATCTGTATACTTCAATTATTCTGAACAAATAAAATGGAATATATAAAAGATAACTGTGTGCAATGTATGCCCAACTTCTATTTTACGTATGTCCTGATATCTAGTTAGCTTTACTTCAAGTTATTAATAACCACTTGCCTGTAACTTCATTCCTAAAACAGACATTATATGAAAGAAGAAAAGTAGTTAGTGAAATCAACGTCTACATTATAAATGAATCCTGATCTGGAAAAAAAGTGAAGTGTCAAAGGAACATATTAATACATTCCTTGGTTTCATGCAGTTAGAATAAGTATCTTCCATGAGCCTCCTAGGCAAATGACTACTAGATTCATCTGAATTTTTTAAACTACTGTGCAGTCCATACCAAACTATTATGAAAGTCATTGACATGTTTGTGTTTTGGCCTTCACCTTTTTAGTAGATGGAAAATATCCTAGGCTATACTTTAATTCGTTGGGGAGGGGGCTAGAAACTCATTTGCTTCTGCTATTAAGGGATATACCTCATATCTTGTAATAAATATTACCTCGTTGGCAATAGTAGCAGAAACAGCATCAATCTCCTTTAAGGTTCTGTCCTTGCCACCTTGGCTTAGACTGGACAGCTTTGGTTCCTCATTGCAGCTCTGCTTTGTAGGTTTTTTGGAGGTGTTTTCCAAAAGCTGCAGCATTGCTGAGGAAGGTTCTGGCTTCTTGTTAGTGTTGTCCCCTCCAACTGGGTCTTTCTTGTCAGGAACCAAAGTGGGACTTTGAGTTCTACCACACACATTCCGGAAAAACTCTTGCACTATACCATATTTAGGTGCTTCTGGCTTGGCTTTACTTTCCTGGCATCCTGGCTTCCATATCGACTCGGTGCTCCCAGAATGCTCCACAACATTGAATAAGCTAGACAAGCCATCGTTAATGTTGTTTAGAACTGGGCTGTCTCTAGTAGTGGTGGACCGGGCCCAGGCTGAGCCATTTTGCTTACTCTGATGGAGGTTCCATAAGCTTCGATCCTTGGAATTATCCAGCTTAGATGATGATCTTCTTTGTAGTTTGGGAGAACCATATTTGGGAGAGCAACAGGGCCGTTCAATCCTGGAATGGACTTTGTCCAGAGATGTTGAAATCTGCTTGGTGCGCACAGACACAAGGGAGGAGCTTCGTGGAGACCAGCTCTTAGTACTATGGATGCTTCCTCTGGGTATGTCTGTCTGCAAACCAATGCTGACCGTCTGTATAGTCTGGGTACCAACATTGGCCAATCCCACTGTCTGGCTAGAGGTGCTCTTCACCTTTCTTTCTAGGGAACTGGAACGAATAGCCTGACGAACACAATTGGTGATTTCTTTCATGTCATCACTCATGTTGCCAGAAATTTCAAGGCCATGCAGAGATGGTGGGAATTTGGACACCGGAGTTACGGCTTTCTCACTAACAGGGCTACCATCAAGTAATTCCCGATGCTGCTTGGAGAAGTTACACAACCACCGACTATACATGTTTTCTGAGCTGTCTGACTCCTCCTTGGGCTTAGCCATTGTGAATAAGAAACCAGGCTCAACCATGATCTTCTCCTCTCTGTTGTGCACTAGAGGAGCTTCCAACCTGCGGACAACAGGTGGGCTATAGTATATGCGGATCCCAGTCTTGTCTGGAGCCGTATAGCTCCTCTGCATTTGTTTCTGAGTCTGTTCCAATGTGGGTAAGTTATTTGTCTGAATGCATTCACAAGGGGAAGCATCCAGCTTCTCTGAGGCCAGGCTCTCGGGTGTAGATTGCTTACTGTTCACACAAGCAAAGTTCTCAGGAATGATCCCAGCAGGGTCTGGCAACTTCTGTGTAGTTGCAGGTCCCTTTCTGTTATGGGTATTGTCTATGATCACAGTGCTGCTTTTGCCAGGAAGATAAGGAGAGCAGTCAAGCAAACTTTCAAATTCAGACATGGAGGAAACTGACTTTGTCCTAAACAGACAAGAGAAAGCAATGAGTAACAACCTAACTTTTGGACTGAGAATTTTATGTGTCCTACCTAAGTGATATCTACTCCCCCACCCCTCTGTCAATTCTGTCAGTTTCCCTGTCATTTTCCAATTAATCTTTTTAACATGTCTAAGGATGCAGCAAAAATATGTGTTATCATGAGAATATATAGAAAGTTGGTGGAATTTGTAGACCTGATTCAATTTCTCATGCCTTATGCTACTTTGCCAATGAGAAAACTCAGTGCTTATATTAATAATTCTGTATTTAAAAACAGTGTCATCATCAAAGTTACATTTTTCAGCATGGGAGTGGAATAAAAGCAGTAGTATGCTCTGGGTTATTGGTCTAAAAAACCTTTTACATGCTACTTGCTTTTGATCACAAAAATGATATTCTCGAATATTTTATGCTAATATACAAATCACCGATGGTGTCATAGTAAGAGAGATTCTTATGTGCACATAAAATAATGAAAATGGTGTCTAAAATATGCTTTTGAATATGAAATGTAGATGTCCACTAAAAATAGACTGGTCATCTGTCAACAGTTATCCTACCTTTTTAAATTACTTCCTTTGATATCAATTTCAGAAGCTGTCTCTTTGTCAGTGATTTTCTCATTGAGGGTCTGAAAAAACATAAAAGAAGCTTTTATCAACTGTGCTTTTATGATCTTGTGTCAGGTGTAGAGAAACTCAGATAAAATAAGAGGTGTATCAGTTCTGTATATGAATTTAAAACTTTACTTGTTTGCCTTTAAATAGTAAAAAAAAGAGTTCTAAGACACAGGATGCTTAAATGAGTAATGAAAGTATAAACCAGAAATCCAGAATTGCCAAAATGTTATCTGTTTTTTTAGAAAGAGTCTTAAACTTTGCACGCTTGCTGGATCACACTAAGATCTATCTAGTGCTGGGAATCTAGTCAAAAGACATTAGAAAGTTCACATCTCTGGATGTGATAATTACCTACCCTTTATTTCCAGCCTATGAATATAGCTTATATCCATCTCTCTCTCTCTCTCTCTCCATCTCCATCTCCCCACCCCCCCGTTCTCTCTCTCTCTCTCTCAAACACTATAAGGCTCCCACTTAAACAGTTCAGAAAGTGATTGAAAATTGCTTGTTCTCCCAGGTCTTGGGGTTATCGAATCCCTATGTGATTTCTGTTTATTTCTCATTATGCTCTTTTCTTCTGGATGCCTATGACCTGTACTCCTATTTTAATCTTTCCTGCTTTTAAAAGGTACACCATCCAGAATTGGGCAGCCTCTAAATCACAGATGTCAAACTCGCTGAGTTGCCGTCATGTGACACTTTGGGATCTTTTTCTCATTTGCAGAGCTGGGGTGGAGGTGGCCTGCACATGATGCATCTGGCCCTTGGTCCGTCATTTGATGCCCCTGCTCTAAATCATAATAAGTCCAATATTGGCTCTTCTTATTGATCTTGCAATTGGAATAAAATATGTTTATTCAGCTCACCTCTTTCCAGCTACCACCATGCTTCTCCATTTCAGAGGCTTTTAAGGCCCATCGGTTGGCACCTTTCTGAAGCTGAAGGGTTTACAAAACAAAGTTATCAAATGCTCAGCCAGCTCATAAGCACTTATTTGTCCTTCATATTCTTATCTACTTCAACAGTATCTGTGGAGACTTCCTGATTTGGCAAATTCACAACTGCTTTAGGATATCTCTCTGTCTCTTTCTGTGTGTGTCCCTCCCTCCCTCTCTCTCTCTCTCTCTTTCTCTCTCTCTCTCCTGTTTTTTTCACACACAGCTCACAAGCAGAAGGATGAGATAGCGAAGTAAGCCACTCCCAACTTTGCCCATGGAGCTGCCAACTCCAATCAAGTCAACCATAGGGTTTTTACTTTAGTCATTTGCTAATGTTAAAAAAAATAATCCTTAGGAAGTGACATTCACTTGAGGTAGATGGAAGACCACGCCTGGTTTCACTGTGCATCTATCATACTACTGGCATCTGCTGCTAAAAGGGGATTGACGAACTAGGTTAACCATATTGTGAAAAAACAGCCATAATAACTGAAAGTGCACCTGGCAATCTATATAGCCAACCTATGCACCATTTTAGCATTCTTTTGTGTGATCTCACAGGAATTGGATAACGTGATTTACTTTATTTTTAGCACAGAGATGCCTGTTCCGTCTCTTTGCCATTGTTTATTATTATTTATACAGTATTTTCATCCTGCCGTTTTTCCTAATAGGGATCATGTGGTTTGTCTCCTCACAACAATCCTAAGAAGCTGGATAGGAAGACAAAAAGTGGGAATCCAAAAATTATGAATTACTACTCCAATGCTAAAGAGTTGCTTGAGTTCAAGGTCATTTTGTGCTATGCATTGTCAGGCCTGCAATCATATTCCTTTTTAGGATCTTTGGCCTGCCACACTCTCTATTATTTCATTATGCTGTTTCATTAGTGTAGTAATTGGGAGGGGGAATAGTAAGGAGTAGAATTGTAGAATGTGTTGTTGTCATTCCTTTCTAGAAGCCCAAGGTCATCTTTTGTCTCCGCACCTCTGCACCTGACCAGAACCAGCTGGGTGGAGATCCCAGCGTGGCTGAAGAAGATGGATTTATGGATGTGGGGATAAGATCATGAACTTTCAACTGGGTGGAATCCCAGGAAGCTTTTAGATTTGGGATTCCAGAGTTTGTTGCCAACATGTCTGTCTTATTAAATTGGAACTTTAAGGATAGCTCTGCCTTGGACTCTGATTTAATTCTGCATGATATTTGGAATGCTGACATGCATATTCTTAAAGACACATGACTCTCATCCAGTATGCAGTATTAAAATCACACTAATTTAAAAAAATCGTGAGCTAGGAGGACAAGATAGATTTCACACACATTCTTGGTTCCTACCTGGTTAATTTTATTCTGCAGTTCTTTCACCTGTTGCTCAGCCTGCTGTTGTTCATCCTTAAAATGGTCCAAGAGTTCCAGCTTTTCCTGGTCCCAGTTCTTCTCATTGATTTGAAGTTGCTTGGTCAGGTCCATAACAGCACTATATGATTCAGCTAAGAGATGCTGATGCTCTTCCCGTTCCCTCTTCAGAGCAGTTTTCCACTCAGAAAGAGCACGTTCTGCTGGACCTTTCCCAGTCTTAGTTTCTAACTGCAAGGACAAAAAAAAAAACAACCCACGAATTAAAACTAAGGCATCCAGAAGGCACTGAAGACCTGGTTCTGCCAGCAGGCCGGGGGGACGCAGAGTGGGATGGATCCCATTAAATGGCTCGTGTGATGTGTTGTCACTGGGGCGAGTGTGTGTAGGATTATTTTATTATATTATTTTATTAGCAATAGCACTTAAACTTATATACCGCTTCACAGTGCTTTACAGCCCTCTCTAAGTGGTTTACAGAGTCAGCATATCGCACCCAACAATCTGGGTCCTCATTTTACCCACCTTGGAAGGATGGAAGGCTGAGTCAACTTTGAGCCTGGGGAGATTGGAACTCCTAAATTGCAGGCAGCTGCCAGTCAGCAAAAGTAGCCTGCAATATTGCACTCTAACCACTGTGCCACTGAGGCTCTTAATTTATTATATGATTCTCTCTTTTATTAGTTTTACTGTTTTTTATATGAGTTTTTTATATTCTTGCAGTCGCCATGTGAGAATAGGCAGCAATATAAATTTCCTAAAATAAAATAAATAAATGCAGTTTTGGAAGAGCAAGACCATTTCAGTCTTCTGGCTTATTTCCCTCTTTAAAGCTTTTGTTATAGACTTGGTCCCATCCAAGCGGTCATTGTAGATTAGAATGATATTGTCTGACATATGTGATGAGGCAGCAGGCTAGAGAAGGCCTATGAAATCCTGGGGTTAGAGTGGGAAGAAATAAACTAAGCCAGCAATCAGGAGGTAGCACCGCTACTCCCCAATGCTATTAGTAAATAATTAAGATTATGGAAGTTGTGAATTATGAGAGTTGTAATCCCACCATATTGGGATAACATTAACTACCTACTATACAGAGAACAGTTTGGGTGGCTGGATGGCACTAAAACTGCCAAATTCACTTCCTAGAGTAATTCAGTTTTTTTAGCACCAGGCCACAGCGTGATTAGGATTGCTTTGATCACCTTTTCTCTAGTTTCTTTGTTCCGAATTCAATTTTATGCTGCAAATTTGCTCTACCACCTTTCCCCTCTTGCCAATATGATTTCATATGATTTCTCAAGTTTCTGAGCTCCTGGGAATTTATGAATGAAATAAAAATCTGTCTGTAGCCTCAATCTTCAACCGCAATATCACATTTTGAAGTTCATATATTTTCTGCATATTTTGAAGGAAGACTAAGCTGGAACTGTCCTTCATGAAGTCATAAAGTCAGGCAGTATAAAAACAGACTGATTCCAGGATTTCATGGCAAAAATGACTGATTAGGATATAGGGGGATAGAGCATTTCATGTTCTTCCTCCAAAAGCATAAAAGAAAAATCGATTACTCAGTCAAAATAAGGTAAGGCTCAAGCCTTTCAGATGCCCCATAATCCACTGGACCGCAATATTTTTTCTTATGTTTAAATTGAATGGTAAAAGCATGTCCTCTTTTTTCTTTCACAATTCCTGGCCGTTCACCAAAAGAAAAAAAATTATATATGTGTACACACACACACACACACACACACACACACACACACCAGAAATTCCTTCCCTGCCCCGTCCTGATAGGAATCATGTGAGAAGCTTGATTTTCTTGGAAATTAAGGAGAAAAAAATACATGCATTTATCTCAGAAGAGTAAGATAACAGACAAGATTCTGATATCACACCAGAGGTGAGTTCCTACAGGTAGTAATTTGGCCTGGGTCACTAGAACCAGCAGCGACTCAGGCCTGCCACACCCCTGAACCGGTTCTCTTGGCGGCGCCATAGGTGCCACCATCTTGTTTTTGTCTTCTGCGCATGTGCAGAGCAATTTTTGTTGCACTACGCATGTGCATGTGGTGCGTCCCTGAGTGAACCGGCAGTAGTGGCAGTCATAACCCACCCCTGTATCACACAAAAACATTATTCCTGTAACAGATGGAAATAAAGCTTTTATTAGGGAGTTGGTTTCCAACTCTTAATAAACTGTGAGAAAAATCCACAAATAACAGGACCACTGCCAAATCGGGAAGAAAAGTGATGAGTAACAAATAATTAGAATAGATCCATTCGAGTCCTAAATCCATATTTCTATCAAACTGTAAATCTCTGCTGCTATTAAGAAAGCCTATTAAAAAGGAAGACATTACTAAAGCAACTACTAAACCTAAACAGAGCATGTGATGAAGTCTTGGGAATGATGAGCTCATTAAAGCAATCAGTTGTCTTGGTGCAGGCAAATCCCCAAACTCATGACATTCATCGCGAGCCATATGCCTAATGGAATGGAGATGTGGTCACCCAGAAGTCAAAAGAAATCCATTGATGAAAATGAGATTGCAGCCTTTGATGAAACAGCTAGGAGTGAAGCTAATTAAATCTTTTTTTAAAAAAGTGCAGTAATTTGTCACTTAGGAAGATTAGCTTGAACATAGGGAGAATCCTTGTGGGGGATGGGGATTAACAATCTGGCTCCTGTCTGACCGTTGGCTCTTATTGTGAGAGATTAAGCAAGCTAAGAGAAGTAGTAATAAGGAATTTCCAAATCACGAATAATCCAAAGATTCTTTTCCATGGTATACTTGTGCAACCAGAGACTAAGATGTTAAGGACACAGGGGTGGAATACTAGCTGCAAAGGCCACATATCTGCACTTCTGCGGCAGTTCCAGAGAAGAGTGAATTAATTCTAAAAGACTTCTCCCTAGGCTCCTTTGCAAACTGACAGCTCAGACAGCTGAAGAGGAAATTATTATTCTACTCGGATAATAATTGGACAAGATAGTTACATTTATGAATAATAGCAGTTTAATGCAGATGCCATTCTAGGTAAGTGACTGGTAGCAGGCATCTGGGGGAATCCATGAAAAATGTAATAATGGCATCTCCAGAGTAAATTACTAACAAGTGGGTCGTTTCTTGGGGCTTCATCATTATAACCTTCAGGCAGCTGTTGAAAGGGACAGAAATAATACCAGTTTGCAAGAGTCTCACTATCATCCCTTTCTTTGTATGTAATCAGAAATACAGTAAGTTGTAAGCAGTTACTAACTCTGCAACAGTGCCTACACTTATCAAATGCCAGCATAGAGGAAAAGGCTACACAAAATTGGAGAAATAAATAAGAGGCAACCTTTAGCAGAATTACAAATACTGTACAACCAACCACAGCATTTTGAAATGCCTACTGCCATTTTAGTACATTTTAGACTGCTCTCACTATTGTCTCACTTATTGTATTTAGAAAGTACTTGTAACTTGTTTCTTTTGCAGCTTTGTCTACCATTTTACAGAATAACTCATTAGCAACCTTTAGTCAATTCCCATCTGAATTGCAATGCAGGTTGGGCAGCACAAGCTGAATAGTTTTAGTTTAGACAAAAGGTCCTCACCAGACATTGCAACCTCCAAAACTTCCCCCTATATTCAGGGGTGGGTTCCTCTACTGGTTGCTAACGGTTCAGTTCGGGTCCGCCACACATTGCTTGAGCATGCTCAGTTGACTGAAAACTGTTCTGTGCATGCACTGAAACATGCCAGCAATGGCAGAAGAAACCAGGGGAACCAGTTTGGGGGCATGGCAAGCCTGGGTTGCTGCCGGTTCTGTGACCCAGGCCACATCACCACTACCAGTTCAGCCAAACTGGGAGCAACCCACCTCTGCCTATGCTACATAATATACAGTATTACATATACAGCCCATGCATGCCATCATTGAAAAGGAGGAACCTTCTCAAAACCCAAGGTGAAATTCCCTAACAGTTTTTCTCAGGCTCTTCTTATGTTCTTGCATCTGTCTTCTTGTAACAGCAGGCTGCTATTCATTCTTTTAGTTTGGGCACTGCAGAGACACCTTATGGGTAATTTCTCAACTGAGGTGAGTAACCTAACCTAAAGCTCATTAGTGAGCATTTCATTTGCTCGTCTTAACTGAAGGGGCGGGGGAGGAAATCTCTGCTCATGGAAGTTTCTTCTTCTCTGGTTTTGTGCTTAAAAGATATGAGAGGAACACCCACCCCGCTTTCAATCTGCCTACCTCTCTACAGCCCATTATCAACTTTGATCAACTTCTATATGAGCTACAAAGCAATGTTATCCATCACCTCATGCTGGGGTGGGAGAGTGGAAGGAAAGAGACAAGGGATGCCAGCTTTTGTCATCACATAAACAATTGTTCTTCTAAATGTTATTATCTGCTGCTTTATTCATATTTTGAACCATGTTTTATAGTGTTTATATGGTTCCTTACAGCTTTTTAATGCAATTATTCTGTTTGTTTAATCTGTGATGCTATATGTTTAATTTTTGAAAATATTCCAGTTGATGCAATGGAATCGCTTTTTAATGTTCACGAATCAGGCAAGGAAACAGGCAGGCAGGTTGGTGACCTACCTCTCAAGTAATTGTCAAGACTTCCAGATTCAATGGCTAAAACATTGACCACGCTAAGCATTTGCAGAGGCATTGTGCATAATGACTGCTTTTGTAGTAGCAACCAAAGTTTTTTTTAAAAAAAATATCTTCAAAATAACCAAAGTACACAGGTTTATATATTTGCAGGCCTTGAAATATATTATATGATTCATATGTAGCATATATTTCAGAATACAAGATGACATGCTGTTTCTTGTCCCAATGCCTAGAAAAGTAAGCCACATGCTGGGATAACCATATAACAGCCTTTCTCAGTTTACTGTGCTTCCTGTCTAATAGATTATAACTTCTGGCTTGACAGTATATCTCAAGGCAGTAGGCTTGGCTGGGGCAAAGAATTAATGCCACTATTCAAGACTACTGTGGAAAAGAGGATTTTTCTTCCATCTCCCATTATGTTAATTTAAACAGCTCCCTCAGTCTATCTACTCTGTGTACTAAATGCTCTCTTCAGGTTACTCTTTTCAATCTCTGGCTTCACTTGCTTTTTGTGCCAACAATTTTTCTCACGCGTTTTCTCAACAAAAAAATATTATTTTAAAATGAGGAGCATTTAAGCCTCCTCTGTGGCTATCAAAGAATCCTGGTTGCATTCATTTATAGCAGAAGGTTTAGATTTGTTCCTCCTGTATAAGAGCAATACAATCAGGCAGGGATTTGACAGCAGAGAAGCATGGCTTATTAAAACTCTTACATCCAGGACCCTCAAAAATTATCCATGCTGTCTTAAGACTCAATTCATAAGTTCCATTTTTTAAACCTTTTATTAAAAGATTTGACAAAAAAAATTAAAAACTACAGACACATAGAAGAATAGGAAAAGATAATAAAAGAGTAAAAAAATAAACACTAACAAAAAAGCAAGAAAAGGAAAATAATCTAAAAAAAGCGTCTTTCAATCTTCTTTGCAGCAATTACAAACATAGCAATTGCCATCTATCTGTATTACATTACAATGGAGAAACTATTTTTTAAATTTATTTGATCAACTTGGCATCTGGACCTAAAGATGTTTCTTGGATTCTAACCTGAGTGATAAGACACTTGAGTTCAGTTCTCTCCATCTCCCAGGTGGCTTTGGCTTTGGCAAACTGTTGCTGAAGTTCGTTCATGCCTCTCCTCTCTTCCTGTAGTTCTGTGCATAGCTCCTTCAAGATCACCTTCATATCTGACAAGGTCTTGGTATATTCATTGGGCTAAAAAAATATAAAAAGAAAAAATATGTTCATTCATATTGTGTAATATAGCGGACTAAAGAAAGAGTTACCAAACTATGTCAGCTTCAGAAAGAAAAGAATTTTGAAGGAGCAGCATGCCAAAACCAATGTTGAAAAGCAGTGTGGTATGATGTTGGACTAGGACCAAAGTGCCCCAAATTCAAATTTGCTTTGACTAAATCATTCTCTCTCAACTAACCTACCTCAAAGGTTCATTATTCAGGAAAAGAGATACTTTTTACCATTATGAGCCTTGGTGGCACAGTGGTTAGAGTGCAGTACTACAGGCTACTTCTGCTGATTGCCAGCTGCCTGCAATTTGACAGTTCAAATCCCACCAGGCTCAAGGTTGACTTAGCCTTCCATCCTTCCGAGGTTGGTAAAATGACGATCCAGATTGTTGGGGGCAAAAATGCTGACTCTATAAAATGCTTAGAGAGGGCTGGACAGCACTGTAAAGCGGTATATAAGTAAGTGCTATTGCTATTATAATTCTTTGAAGATAGGGTGGGCTATAAATATAAAAACAGTTTTGAAATACAGTAGGAAAGACTGCACAGCATATCTTATGCAATTTATTCATTTTTTTGCTTCTGTTTCTCTTTACAGCAATTATAAGTACTAATACAAATTACCTCTTACTCTATGATTATAAGAAAAAATCTTTCTTTTTCTTGTTATCTATTTCTTCTAATCATCAAAACCATAATTTAAAATTTATTTTTGTCTGTTTTATGCAAGAAAATCTATAAAGGGTTTCCCATCGTTAATAAACATAGATGTTCCCTCTCTTTCATTAAGGACATCAATTTAGCCATCTCTGCATGTTCCATCATCTTCACCAATTATTCCTCCATTGTGGCTAGTATTGAATTTTTCCAATTTTCTACATATAATAATATTGATGAGGTCATATATAAAAAACAAAGTTCTATGGTTTTGTTCCAGCTATTTGTTCATCAATCCCAAAAGAAAAGACTCTGATTTTAATTGTATATTAATCTTTCAGATCCTCTAAATTAGTGCAAGTATTTGTATCCGACTCAAAGTGTCCAGAATCATATATTATTTTGTCTACTTTGAATCTTTATAATAATTGTATGTAAGAAATCCATTGACTAGTATATACATTTGGTACCAAATCTCCCCTTGGTTTATATTTTACAGACCCCTTGAAAGAATTCTAATATCTCATAAGTAGTTAACTGTTTGTGTTTACTTATCATTTCTTCTCTATAAAATGCTTCTTGTATAGAAATTCATAAAGGGGTTTGTGGCACCACCTAGATTTGTATTTATATCAATATGGCATGTCTGACAAAATGATTTTTAAAATCTACATTAACCTTAGTTTTGTTGTATTACAAATATCCTTTTATTATACTACAAATATCCTACAAATATCCCACTCAAATCTCAGATCATGTCTTTCTAATTCCAAAGGCCTTCTATTTCTCAGCAATGCTTTCATCTAAACTAAATAATAAGATACAAAATATAATTTAAAATCAGCTAGATCCAATCCTCCTGTTTCTTTTGCATCTTGTAACAGCTTACATTTAACTCATGGTATTTCCCCCTTGCCATAAAATTTTCAATACCCACCATCAAATTGTTGTTTTCTTATAAATCTGAAAACAGTCATATTTAAATAATATGGTTTCAAATTTGCAAAAAGATATTGAGTTTGTACTATATAGAGGCTAAGCCAGCTCATGTTCATTTAGAGGTTCACCAAAATATCCAATGTAATCAGAAGTGTCTAAAGGTTTGTATGCAACTTTATATGGGCCATCTATCTTTTTAGCTGAAGCTGTTAGCTTCAGCTAAAAATTGGACCATCAGAATGTCACAAATGTACTCTATCCCTCCCATCATATTGTTACCAACATCCCATGTAATTATTATACCTATTAATTTTCAGTTGTTTGAATCATATGCTGTATGAATGCTGCCTCCTATGCATTTGGATGTAAATGGAGATTTAGGAAAGATGAAATATGTAAGACCCCTCAAAGCATGCCATAGAAACAGATGTTTGTTGTGATAATTTGCAACTTATGGAATGGAAGACTTATAAGGCAACACAAGAGATATTTGTCAAAACACAAAGGGGTTCCAAAAACATTTGAATTGGATCAAGTGATGGCACTCAACTATAAAGTGCAAAAAAGCTATGAGAAGATAACTATCAGGAACTTGCCAAGCCTTGTTGTAACTATAGAAATAAATATGTTTCTGAGATCTGAGAACAATTCAAAACTAATCTGCCAAGCTAAACCTTGAGTTTGTAGATATACATGGTTATTGAATGCATATATAAATGAAGCTTTTGGTTCAGAAAGTAAACAATGAAAAATAAAAACAAGGCAGATTTATATATTCCTGAATCTCTGGACAAAAAAAGAACAAGTAGCAGCAGAGGGATGAGGCAAGCCCTCTACCCCTTCACCGTTTCACTCCTCAGCTGCAGCTTTTCTTCTCACAAATCCTTCTGCAGATTTTTTCATCATATCCCAATGGGAAGAGAACATTATGGCCAGGATGCTTTGATACCTGAACATTGATTACATCTGAATGGGTCAACTCATCAGCAAAAGCCTACAGTTTGTGATGATATGAAAGTTTTGTGTAGGTGCCACGAACAAAACTATTACATCACTTCAGCATATTTTTCACTCAGTTCAGCTCATACATTCAAATTCAACTAATTCAGAAGGATAGAATCAAGATCACGTGAAGTGGTAATACCACTTTATAATGCCTTGGTAAGGCCACACTTGGAATACTGTATTCAGTTTTGGTCGCCACAATGTAAAAAAGACATTGAGACTCTAGAAAAAGTGCAGAAAAGAGCAACAAAGATGATTAGGGGATAAGGCTAAAACATGAAGAACAGTTGCAGGAACTGGGCACATCTAGTTTGATGAAAAGAAGAACTAGGAGAGACATAATAGCAGTGTTCCAATATCTCAGGGGCTGCCACAAAGAAGAAGGATTCAAGAAGCAATGGATGGAAACTAATCAAAGAGAGAAGCAACCTAGAACTAAGGAGAAATTTCCTGACAGTTACAACAATTAATCAGTGGAACAACTTGCCTGCAGAAGTTGTGAATACTCCCAACACTTGAAGTTTTTAAGAAGATGTTGGATAACCATTTGTCTGAAGTGGTGTAGGGTTTCCTGCCTAAGCAGAGGGTTGGACTAGAAGACCTCCAATGTCTCTTCAAACTCTGTTATTCTATTCTATTCAGAGAAGTGCCAAACATTAAGTATTTAAGAGAGACTGTAAATGATCACAAGTTCCATACAGAATGGATTCCTCATTCCATTGGTCTCCTATTCCATCTTACCATGTTCTGAGACCAAAAATCTCCAGTGTATGTCTTATTATCAGCTTGCTGCTGTGGGCTTAGTTCTTCTTCTTCAATCAGCAAATATAGTTCTTTCATGCTATTCACCTAAAAAAAAAAAAAAGCAAAACAGTGAGTAGAAGCCTATCATAACTAAATCGTCAGTTTTGTTGTCTGAAAACAACCTACTGGCCCCTTCAAGCAGAGGTGACAGGTTGAGAACTGTCAAAAGGCCAATTCTATCACTCAAAATGGGATGCCACAATAAGCAGCAGCCACCCAGAGACGTTGCCATGCCATGTCATAACAACTATGTTCGGTATCATCCTCTCACTCATGTTTCTGTACCAGGCACCTTTCTAGACATTTGTGCCTGGAAAGAATCATCAAACTGGCATATAAAGAAGCTGTTGTTGCCAAGCCTGAAATTTTTCAGCTGCACACAAACTATGCATTCTATTTCAATTAGCATGAATATGTTGCTCTGATAATGATGAGAGACTGTTTTGTTCATCTAATGTGGCGTTGCTTCTCCTTACATCCAGAGCCAAGACAACTTGATAAAACCTTATCAGTCAGGTAAAATAATTCCTTCTGCATCCAGTGTTGAAAATAAAATAGAGGCAGGGCAAGAATGAGGCTAGCAGGATGTAAAGAAGGGTAGAGATTCTACTACAGAGTTCTTTTTACAGCAGCATGCTTTCTCCATTCATGAAAAAGCCTTGCTGCAGATCAATTCCCATACCATAATTTAATAAAGTAAAAATGCATGATTGAGTCTACACCTGCTTTTTATGTCACTTGTGATTGTTCTTCCTGCAGTCCTTCCTTCCAAATGTTGAAGTGTAACATCTCTGGCTACTGGCTTTGTTGATGAGCTGTAGTTTTACAGGGTGTCAAAGACCATATATTCCCCATTTTTAAAGTGGAAAGGGGGATAAATAGAATGTATGTTCTAGCCAAAGTTGACATATACATGAAGAATTTAAACAATGCTGATTTAAGCCTTGCATCTCAATTGCTGACCTTTCCCAAGATATGCTATGGTGTAAATGATCTAATGCCAAAAGCTACATAATAACTCTTGCCTTCAAAGAGTGAAGGACTTGAAAAAAGATAAGAAGGAATGGATATAAGGCTTATTCCTTGCATGTTTGACAGAGCCTAAATTATGATTGCACACAACCTTGTCTTAAAATGATAAAAGATATTAACCAAAAAAACAGAGTACACTCAAGGCGAATGTCCCAGTTATCTCTGTTAGAGTCAATTGAAGATTTTGATTACACAGATGTAGAAGTTCAAGGTTAAACATTACTATACCTCCAAGAAATCACTGCATTCATTTTGCAAGGTTTTCCCCTGCCTCCAATGCTTCAGAAACCACTTGAGCTTCATAAAAAGAAGCAGGAAATTCTGCTTGAACTGTTGGGATTCTTGTACCAGAAAGTTCTTCTCCTGGCTCCAGAACTTCTGCTCCAACCTCCTCTGAAGATTCAGGCTCTGCAGCTCAAATTCTCTTCTCAGGAGAGCCTTCTGGTGATCATCCTTTAGCTGATGAAACACGGGAAGAAACTGAGAACATTACACAACAGAGTGAGGTGGGAGTGGGGATGGGTTACCAGCAAAGCCAGTTAATTTAATCAAAGAAAGCAAGAGTATGGACAAGAAAAAGCTAATGTATGGGAGGCATGAATATTTTCTGTGCCATGTTGTTCAGAATAATGCTGGTTTGAGAGAAAGAAATAACCAAAGGTTTCAGACATCAGTCCACCTGTTTGGAAGCATCCAGAGTTCATTCCACAAATTCTGGTTAAACACCTGAGAGTCATCAAATACTTGCCAAGTAGGTAAGTATGACTGTACACTTGCTATATACCGATTCATGGCAATACATTTCCAACGTACAGAGACACCAACTAAAAGCATTTGCTTATTTTTTGGCAACGAGAGGGGGCAGAACATAATTATTCTGGGCTTGCATCCAACTGCAAAATGGTTGAAGCAGCACAGGGACTAGGTTTGCATCCATGCTCTCTTATATGTTTGCTGCAAGCTCTTCTTGCATCCCAGAATTTGACTCCAAACAAATCCCACTAACCTGGCAGACTTTCTGTGTGAAGTTCTCTGCTTCCTCTTTCCTCAGCTGCCTTTCTTGGGAAAGTTGTTCCTGTAGGCCCCTCAAACTCTCATTAGCTTCAGAAAGAACTAGTTGTAGTTCCTTGATCTGCAAGAATGGTATAACAGCCAATAGTCAGAGAAGGTACCACGGCTCAGTTTATTGCATATTGTAATCCTGCAACTGAAAAGTTCCAAATTGCAATTTTGCACAAGAAGCCAGTAAATCTTCCTTCAAATCCTTTCTATTTTATACTTCATTTTTCCTCAATATGGTGCTCTCCCAATGTGTTATGCTGGCTCAGACATCATGAACTGTAGCCAACAAAGTGATGCAACCCATCAAATCAGATGGACACCAGATTGAATCATAGTGTTATTAATCAACTTAACATACTGCTGATTACTGAGATCTCTGACATGTTAGTATCTACATAGTACAATTTGGCTTTTCCCCCAAAGGTTTAGCAGAAATGAAAATGCAAAGGTGGGTGAATGGGAACATTGCCTTTATTCCCCACCCTCTCATATATAATTAACTGATATTTTCCCAGTCAAGTAACTCTTTCCAGAGTCCCCTCTCTTCCTTTAGGAACATCATCACATACCTCAGACATGTAAGAATCCTTCTCTTCTCGTTGGTATGTCTTGTAGCTCCGGTCAAGTCCCATGTTGGCTTCTGAATTGATGGTGGCAGTGTTGCTGCTGCTACTGCGATACAGATCAGAGGGCCTGCTCTCCCCGACATCCCAGTCTGGGGCCTCCCTAAAGTCAGACTGCTGCATGCATGGGCAAGTTAATGAGAACGAACCAAAAGAATAGAAAAGAAAAGAAAGAACAAAAACAAAACAAATGGGTCTCAGGAACAATAAAGAGAGCTACAAGACAACAAAAAGGATGAAGAGGAAGAGGAGCTTCACTACTGTGGCAGAAGATAAAGTGGAAAATAAAAGGAGACACAAAATGAGGAGACACGTGGGCTGGATTGTTTGGGGAGGGGAAAAAGAGAGAGAGGGAAAAAATGTGCAAACACCAGTTATGGTGCCATGCAGTGCTAGGGGTGAGGGTGTGGCTAGCTGGAATAACAGAGGGGGCCAGTGCATGCACAAAAATAGAACTCTGAAAATTTGGAGTGTGCTTCAGGAGGTTGCAATCCAGCCATTCTCTCAAACCATTTCCCACAAGAGCCATGGCATTTCATATCCAGCTTGGGCCCCTACATTTTATCTTGCTACACCAGGGTCCGGTCTGCAAGATTGAATATTCCCAAGTAAGTAATTATCTTAGTCAAGACAAACACACAGTTTGTCTGCAGAGGTGAAGTTTCAAGCATACTTCCATCCCTCCAGTCTAAAAGGGGGGGGGATGCATGCATCTGGCAAATATTCAAATTATATTCACCATATGGCAAAGTTATCTCAGTAAACCTCTCCAAAATGACTGTGTCAGACAAAAACCTTGGAAACTAATGTTTTCTCTTACAGAATTGACTTTGGAGAATTGCTTTAAATTGGTACTATTCCAAGGCAAATCTATCAATATGCGGAAATGATTTGGAAAGGTCATGGAACGTGATCTTGATTATCTTGTAATGCAATCCCCTTCTGGCAGGGTTATGATTTCATTTTTCTACCCTACATATGAACTAGATTTGGGGTTGGGGTTACAATATAATATGCATTTGCCTAGGCAATCTCCTGTCCCATGCACATTCTGTCAAACCAGAGTCCTATCTTGTTAGTGGCCTCAGTTCCATGCAGTGAACTAGTTGTTAGTTTGTCATTTCACTCTGAGAAAGTAGAAAAAGGAAGTTACATTAACAGGGTCAGGTTCTGGTTGGTTAAGGCAAGAAAAAACAGTACTGTACAGCAAATAAAGCAATCATAACTGCAAGGGAGTCACTGTCAATAACTCAGAGAAACCCTCACCTGGAATTCAGCACCATGACTTTTTCGTAGAGCTTCTTTGGTGGAGTCCTGGGAGCTGGAACCTGGTAGGGAGTCCTGCTGGTCTTTCATGCAGCCACCAATATGGTCCACTTTTTTCATAAAGGTGTTTAGCTCCTGTTGCAGGACTCCAAGCCGCATCAAAATAGCATTGATCAGCTTAGAGTCTGTAGTATTCTCATTGTCCATTGCCTCACTCAGAACCAACTGTGTACAGTCATTGTCCATGCAGAGTTTGAGGTTAGAGGTAAAGCCATTGGCATCAGAAATCAGGACGTCGATAGCTTTGCTGACAAGAGCAGCCTGATCTCGGATGTCAAGGAGGGTCTCAAAGTCTTTACATTTGAAAAGCTGATTGGGGCTGCTTTCGTGAGTTTTGCTGAAGCCATTGCTAGGTATTTTCTCCTTTGCATCATTTTCTCCCCCATTAGGAATTTCTTTCCAAAGCGAAGTTGGGATGCACAAGGCCGAATCACCAGCTTCAGCATCTGTCTCCAGCATGGGCCGGGTGGTATGGCAAGAGGCAAGGTCACAACGTTGCAAGTTGGAGAGTAGCACACGGTTCTCGTACTGCAGCTTCTTAACTTTGCCACTAAGCTCACTGATTTGGACCTTGGCCGTGGCCAGTTCTTCTTGAGAGGTCTCGCTGATCACGGAACAGCTGTCCTCAGATAAAGTGATATCCAGATCATGATCTGACTTGTACTTATTGAGCTCATTCATGAGGAGCTTATTCTGTTCCTCCAGCTCCATCAATGAACGCCTCAGCAGGTCTGCCTCTTCTTCCACAAACTGCAAGTGCCGCCTGAGTTCTGCCACACTCTCCCCAGAGTCTCCATTGTTTGTCATGGAGAAAGCCAACTGGATATCTTGTCCCAAAAGGTCTTTATCGCCCTGCCCCTTCATGTCATCCATCTCTGCCCTCAGTCCTCGATTTTCAACCTCAAGCTCCACTATTTTACGGCTCAGAATATTGGCTTCTTCTTCAACAAGTTTCAAGTGGACCTTCAGTTCGGCTTCTCTAGAGTGAGGCGAGTCAGCCAACTCTTCAATGGAGAGAGAGCTTTCCAGATCGCCATACAAGGACTGATATTTTGTCAGCTCATCCTTCATACTGTCATTCTCTTTGGCTAACTTGGATAGCTTTTTACACATTAGAGCAGATTCCTCCTTAGCAAAATGCAACTGACATTTGAGATCTGCATTGTCCTCCTAGGATCAAAAAAGAAATGGTGCAAGCATTACCAAAAGAGAATGGTGCTTTAAACAAATCACTGTATATTAGAAAGACTACTGCTCTTTTAGGGCACAAAGATTAACGCTGGCATACTATCCATAATTTATTATATTGATATTATACTGAAAAGCTAAAGTTTGGGGTTACTGTTTGAGAACTGGAAGTTTTCATAAAACCTAAACAAATCAGTTCCTCTTGGATAACATTTTCATTTTCCCTTGAGGGACATTATCTCATTAAAAGTGACCGTTAGACCGTTATAAAATTAGTCCATTTCCTGCCTACATAACTCATGGAATGAAAGCTCTAAGAAAACCCTCAGAAGAAAAGAATGTCTCCAGTAAGCATTGAAACCTTATTTCCAGATGTCAAATACACTGTGAGCATTCAGTTACAACTAACGGTTTAATGTTGCATCAGCCAGAATTGAAAAAAAGCAACTATTCTTCAATTCTTAAAATGTACTGCATTGTTGCATTCTTGCTACAAAATTTCTATTGCACCAGATTCAAACACAGCATAAATTGGAGGGAGGGGGGAATAGAAATTCCCTAAAGAAAAAAAAAACCTCTTCCTTTTATCCTTTGAGGCAAGCCAGTAGTTATTTTTCCTTGAAATTATGAGCATATCCTACAAACTGTGTTCAATAATTGCCTCCATGTCAGAGCAGATCTTTGCTTCTGGATCTGATTGTTCAAATGCTGGATATCTCTTTAAAGCAGGGGTGTCCAAACTTGGGACTTCAATTCCCAGAATTCCTCAGCCAGCGTGGCTGGCTGGGAAATTCTGGAAGTTGAAGTCCACAAGTCTTAAAGTACCCAAGTTTGGACACCTCTGCTTTAAAGCGTTCAAATATCAAGACATTTCAGCAACAAGACATGAAGCTACTCTCCTCAATTTGTTCTTCATTTATTTATTTGAATGCATTAGTTCCCAATTCCAATGGAGTCTTTAATACTGAAATGAAACACTGAGCTACCTTTAGGAATCGGGTTAATGGAGTTAATCAGGGGAAATAACTTTTTTTCCACTGGGGAAATACATTTTGATATGTTTAATGTCTGACCTCTGGGGAACATAGTTGATACTGTGATGATGTAACATCAACTGGGAAGGGGTCTGAAGGGTTTTTTTTCTCCCATCAATTTTGGGGTTTGGGATTGTTAAAACATAAAATAGATGTTAACATAGTCCTTGTTAAGAAAATGACACGAATGTGTCAAATTTAAATGGTGCAATCTTTGGGGGATGCATCGCATGAAACTTCCAAATACTGTTCAAGGGAAGCCCCATGTAAAGCGCATTGCAGTAATCAGGCTAGAGGTGATTAGTGCATGAGTGACTATAAGCAGGGCCTACTAATCCAGGAACAGGCACAACTGGCACACAAGACAATGCTATGTAAAGGCCTTCCTATCCACAACTACCCACCCCCCTGCTCATGGGATAAGAGTCATAAGCCTACGAGGACCCCAAGATTGTGCACTGGGTCTGCCTGAGGTTGTGCAATCCCACCCAGCACTGAAGACTTTATAGTCCTGGAATCAGCAAGTCCCCATACACAAAGCTAGTTAATTTTGCCAGAGTTCAGCTGAAGCTGTTTTTCCCCCCCCATCCAGACATTTATAGCCTCCAGGCATTAAGATAAGATGTTCAAGGCATTGTTTAATTCACCAGGGTTAGAAATATATAATCGGGCATCATCAGCATACTGATGATACCATTACCCCATGTGGTGACCTCATGTAGATGTTGAAAAGGAGAAGAGAAAGCACTGAAAGCAACACACATCGGCTACAGGTGAAACCTCCCCTCTCCTTCCCAATTGTTACTGACTAGAATTGAGCCTACAGGAATGAAATAAACCAGTACAATGCTATGCCATCTACCCCAACCCTCTGAGCCAATCCAGAAGGGTACCATGGTCAATGGCATCAGAAGCCACTGAGAGGTCAAGTAGGGTGAGGTTGGATGCACTACCCATCCCACCCATGCAGAATTCATTTAAAGGAACAATCAATGCTATTTCTGTCCCATATCCCAGTCTGAATTCTAAATGAAAAGAGTCCAGATAATCTGCCACGATAATTTGTGGCCACATTTGTGTAGTTTGTTTGGTAGCAATATGGAAATGGCTGAATACTGCCTTCTTCCAGGACATTTTTTCCCTACTGCCACACCAAAACTTTCCAGGATCTCAGAGCTACCCTATTTGACTTTATAGATCAGCCAGGGATGGCTGTATGCACCAAATCATGCTGAAAATCATGCAACCAGCACTTCAATCAATGTGCAGTAAATTTAGATGATAACGGATTTAGCTTGGGGAATAAATCACTAGCTGACATCAGCTATGCTCAATCAGCATAGTTCCCCTATAAAAGTAACACATATTCTTCTGAACATGGATCTCAATTTGAAATATGCTGTAATAGGACATTTGGAAACTCTTTACCAAGGTGATTAAAAATCAAAGACCCAGAAGTATGCAGAACCAGATTTCAACCTTACTTGAGCTTGAAGTAAAATTTGTTTGAGGAATATATTACTTCTTTCTTTTGACAGCATTGTTTATTTATTCAAAGCTTATATTATTCTAGAGCAGGGATACAAAATTCAAGGCCCGAGGGCCAGATCCGGCCCACGGGGTACTTAGATCTGGCCTGCGGGGCCACACTAGAAACAGGGAAGGACCGGCCCACAGTGCTTCTGCCAGCGAAAATGGTCTCCCAAGCTTGGTTTTTTGGGCACGCAGCCCTCCCGAACTCCATTTGCACTGGTAGAGGGTCATTTGTTATCTAGAACAGTCAGAATTGGGAAACAAAATGCCATTGTGTTAGCTGGGAACTCTTCCCTATTTGGAATATCATTTAGTATTAGTGAGAATAGAATTATCTCCTAATTATAAAGTTCTAGTATCCTGTTTCTTCTATTTTACAATGTGCTGGTAATGACTAAAATGAAGAGCCATGGCAGCCAAAAACAGAGCCCATTTTCACTGGCAGAGCACTCAGGCCACCACAGGCGCCCCCCCACATGAGTGACATCGAGTTGGCCACACCTAACCCTGGCTACATCCACACCAGCTCCCCAAAGTCAAACACAACCCTGATGTGGACCTCATTGAAATCAGGTTTGACACCCCTGTTCTAGATAAACACATAACCCATGATAACTTACATTTTAAAATATCCCAAACAATAGCAAAACTATATCATAGGAAAAAAGAATGCAATAAATCAGTTAAGGACAGTACTTCTACATTTGTCTCAATGGATCCTAATCTCCCTGTTCCTATATTCATATATCTACTTAATCATTCTAGAGATATTCAAATGTTTAATCCCTTGATCCCTGGTTATGACTTTAAAAACAGAGTAAACATCACTTTAGAAGCTAAGGAATTTAGCTTCTAATTTTAACTGAGTTCAGTCCCTGTTGTGGTCTGCCGGTGGCCTGTGGAGCTCACAGCAAAGTCGGACAGTGAGGAAGTTGGGGAGGAACATGGGCCAGTCCTGGAGGTCTGGGGAAGGCTCAGACGAGGGCTCTGCATCGGAGGCAGAGAGGGGGCCAGAGCCATTTGGGAGTTATGTGCTGCCTCCGGAGCCTCCAGAGTCAGACAGCAGCGAGGCAGAGGAACAGGCTCCTCCTGTTCCCAGTGCACGCATGCGCAGAGCTGCCAGAAAGCAAGAACAGTTAAGGGACAACTCAGGAGTAAGGTTTGGAGGTGAGTGGCCCCTCCCATAGGACATAAAGGAGGAGCAAAGGCACATGAGCCTTTGTAGGAAGCAACTTGGTTCATGCTGGTCAGTTTACTTTCTGAAAATACATTTGGACTCTTTACTCCATGTGGCCTTGCCAAGCTAATAAGTCTTTGGCCGCATTTTCAAAGAAGATAAAGGTGGGTGCTTATCAGCCTTATCCTGAAGGACTTTGGCAGTCTGCTGTAGAACTCTTTACTACCATTTGGAATTCATTACGAGCTGTGAATGAATATAATTCACAGTCTTTGAAATAAAAAGAGGGTTTCTGGACTTAATCATGTGGTTTTACTGTATCAGGAAGCCTAGGTCAGAACAGTTCTACAGGTTATCCAAATTTCCATTCTATATTCAAAGATCAGAATCTAACCTTCTGGGCATAAGAGAGGACTGCTCAAATTTAGCAGTATTATCCGTGGATGATAACTTCTCTAAACCATCATGCAGATGAGAATCAAGGACTCTGTCATCAAAGATTCTTGTATTTTCCTAAAAGGGTCAGTTTAATTTCATTTAACATTCAAGAGCCCAGTAATGTAAAGTGACAGAGCGAGAACACTGGGAACACAAAACAGAATGATTCCAGTCCCATTAACATTATCTTGGTAACTAAAGTGCAATATAGGTTATTCTAAAGTTACTGCTATCTCAATCTATTCTAGCCTGCAAAGGACACATCTGTTTTTTCTCTGGTCAACACATGGGCATAATGCAAAATTACATAACTGCCCTAAATCAAGAAGATATCTCAGTTTCAACAGAAACATCTATGTTTCTCCAGCTATTGATCAAACAAAGTATTGCAACCAGAATGGAACATCAATTTTGGCCTTAGGGAGAGTATGAACTCAATTTAAAAATTAGTCCAGCTCAATGCAATGAACTGGAATCCTATTTCCTTTGTATCGCTGCATCTTTCTGGTGATACAATTGTTCATGGAGGATTTGAACAATAGATTTCTGATATTACAGAGCTATTCAGGGTCAGTCAATGCCATGCAGAGCATGTAAACATCAACACTAAGAGCATCAAACATTCTACATTCTATTAAAAGATGTGGTTGAGCTGCTTTTAAACAATGAAACAAAAGGAAAAAGTATTATTGTCCCATACTTTCAACATAAGCTTTCTTCCTTTGCAAGCTAGTATCAGCTATATCCACAACATATAGCTGATAGTCTTTTCATTTGTTAGCAAGTGAAAATTATTTACAGTGCATGTTGCAGTTGATAAATAGTGCGTGTTGAAGCAGATGGTAATGTTAGGGCATTAGTAAGTGTACATCTGTGCCTATATTATATGAGGGCTCTACAACATACACTTTTTGGTTTGGCAACAACAGCTAAGTTGGCATTTAATGGAATTTCCATTTCCAAATATCTGTTGCATTAAGTCAACAAAATTCCTTGACTCTGCTTATCAGAGGCCAGATTTACTTGAAATGCCAGTGATTAAAAATGGGACATTTCTGCATGCAAAATATGTTACTCTGTCATTGAAATGCAAGATGAAGATGAAAAAAGTATATCAGAACACCATCCTAAAATATAAACAAACAAAAAAAGCAATTTGGGGTTTTTTTTCCAAAGAAAAAGAGGCAGTTTTGAAATTAAGTATTCACTGGATATTCTATTGCAATAGCATATCAATAATTGGAATTGTTGTACCTGGACAGATGGTTTCTTGTCTGTTTTCCCTAGAGAACGTGATCCCCTTTTCTTTAAAGAATTCTGAAATAGAAGAGAGAATTTTTTAAATAAATATGGCAGCTGTACATCCATCAATCATCTAACCAGTTTTTTCTTGTTACAATGTATATTAGCTCTGATCACTAAATCCACACCTTCCAGTGAGCTTCACAGAGTTGAGTTTGATTTCCTCCAAGTTTTCAAAAAATATGGTTTCCCACAAGAATCAATGCATACATACCAGTGAGACTAAATTTCTCAGAGTTGGAAGGAATTGAAGTAAAAAAAAAACGCAGAGATGAAACTGAAGTTTTTCTTTGTATCTCACTGGTTGGGGAATTCTGGGAGTTGAAGTTCACGTAACTTAAAGTTGCCAAGGGTGAGAAACACTGGTTTGCCTGTTTATCAGCCAGGCTTGTATCTCACCCTTCCTCAAGAGTACAAGGCAACTTACATGAGGATCACAGCAATAGCATTTAGACTTATATACTGCCTTATTGTGCTTTACCGCATTCTCTGGGCAGTTTACAATGTCAGCATTATTGGCATATTGCCCCCAACAATCTGGGCCCTCATTTTACTGATCTTGGAGAAATGAAAGGTTAAGTCAACCTTGAGTCCAGTCAGGTCTGCAATGTTGCATTTAACCACTGCGCCACCAGGGCTCCTAATTATCCCTACATATTATCCCCACAACTACAACTTCATGAGGTAGGTTGGTTGAGATAGAATAACTGACCCAAACCTATCCAAGGAATTTATAGAGTAGAGATGGACTAGAACCTGAGTCTTTTTACTGACTGTAAGGAGACAACCCCTTATGTCACACCGGTTCTACACCTCTCACCATAATCAGTGATATCAGCTAGCATTTAATACAAAACTTATTTTAGGAAATATAGTTCAGCATACAAAGTAGGAAACAAGCTTTGTGTGAGTGACATAATGCAGGAAAGATAGAATTATGGTCACAAGCACTACATATTAACTCAGGGGGTGGAAATTGACCAATAGTAATTAAAATTCTCAAGGAAGTCTCTCTAGATTGGCTCAGTTCCTGCAAAGTAGCAAAACATAGCAGCAATGTTTTTCACTTCCTTGACAAAGGAGAAAAATAGCAACCACCTACTATAACAATTTACAAACCTTTATAGTGAAGGAACATAACTGACACTTAATGGGAGTAACGGAAATGCACCCTACATATATATTAATAGTAAACATAAGCTTTGTGGGAATAGTATGAAATCACTAATATAGCATAATTAGCTAGCATTTTGTTATAAACAATTGGAATTCTTTGTAGCTTCTTCATTGAGGGATGTGCATTCAGATTATAAGCAAAAAAAAAAACAACCTGAACAATACCTAAAATATAGTATTATTTTAATAGTTTTGGCTGCAAAGTAAGCTAAGCTTAATGCAGAGATTTCAAATAAATGGTCACATTTCTATTTTCCAAACCACTTGTGCATTGAAGTGATGTTTTCCGTTTTAATTCAAGATGTTAAAAATAAACAAGTTTCTTAATATTACATAAACCTAAAAGTGCCCTTTCTTTTTCATCTCCTTATTAAAAACTTTTTTTCCACATAGAAATATATTTTAAAAGAAACTGTCCTGACTGACAATTGGATAAGACAGCTTCTATTTTTTCTCTTTTCATAAATGTAAAAAAGTTAAGACTTCTAAAATAAAATTATGCTTAAGGTATAGGAGTGGTTGTCAAGATAATGCAATCAAGTTCACAACATCCATAATAGTTAACTATGATTAACTAGTTAATATGAATAAATAGGAGTAATTATTGCCATTCCGCCAGATATTGTTGCAAACTACCTCTATTGTTGCAAATTATCTCTAAACATTCCAGCAGAGTAAAACTAATCCTAGAAGAATTAAGCATTGAAACCATCAGATTAAGACAAGTACATTTATATAATAATACACAGTCACGAAAGCTATTATTATCCAAAACCAACTTAATAACAAAGGACTCTTTGCAAACAGACACATACACAAACACACACAGTCACTAGCATAAAGTCATCAATGAACTCCATGGTCAAATGGCTCTTGAATATGAGTCTCCCCAAATCCAATATCCAGTTATAGATCATTAATTTATAAGTAATACTGACTAAAAAACCAATATAAACTTCCTTTAAAAAAAATAAATTGCCAACACATACAGCTATAATTGCCAATTACCACTAACTTCCAGTGGTGAATGTAATGTTTAATATAGTGGTTTTCACCTAATGAGATCGTTATGCAGTATGATCACATGTTCATATAATGGCTACTAACAAGATAACATGATAGCTAAGGGACTATATTAATGTCTGTAATCCATGACAGTTAAGAATGTCACCTCCAGAGCAAGACGATAACCAAGTAAATATATAATCCTGTTGAATTTATATCAATTCATCGCCAAGATTTCAACAAGTCAATAAGAATACATAATTTAAAATTAATTTACAAATCTCCTTTTTTTTGTAAACAACTTCCTCCTTAACAGCTTCATGTATTATCTTGTCGCCAATGGATACCCCACTGTACTGGGGAACAATTCAGTCCAGGGGGAATTACATTTGTCTTGGCATATATAGATCAGGTTTAAAGCCCAACTCAATCAGGGATTAATCAGGCCTGTAAAACCCACAGGTTGGATACAGCCTGCCAAACCACCCCCACGCCAGCTCCACAAAGGCAAAAACCATCCTGATATGCCACGATACAGCCCGCAATGCAATGACACTCCTGGATTAAATAGACTGAAATAAATATACCACTGTCACTAGGTTTCTTCATTCCTCCTAAAATAAGAAATGCCCGCCAGATGCTATAATGCATCTCGTACATGTAGACCTCAATTTATGACCACAATTGATCCCCAAATTTCCTTTGCTATGTAAAACAGTTCTTAAGTGGGTTTTGCCCCATTTTACAACCTATCTTGCCACTTGTTAAGTGAATCGCTGCAATTGTTAAGTCAGTAACGTGGTTGTTAAGTGAACTTGGCTTCATTGTTGACTTTACTTGTCAGAAGGCCACAAAAGGTGATGACAAGACCCTGGGACATTGCAACTCTCATAAATATGAGCCAGTCACCAAGCATCTGAATTTTGATCATGTGACTATGGGGATGCTGCAAGGGTCGTAGGTTTGAAAAATGGTCATAAGTCACTTTTTGCAGCACCATTATAACTCTGAATACTGAACAAATGGTTGTAGATTGAGGTCTCTATTCATTCAGTCACTATATAAGAAGATTATTATTGAGATATCTTTTGGAGTTCAAAAGCTTGTGAATGCTGACTATTAATTTCTTCTTTTCTAATGTATTTGTTTTTCTTCTTCCTATGCCCTGGCCCCAGTGGTTTGAAATATAGCCAATATTATCAAAGAGCCTTTATAAGGAAACGGTGTGGGGGGAGGAGAACTGGTTTGCCTCTTCAATGTTCCAATACATCCAGAAAGAGTTTAGTAAACTGAGTAGATAGATGATAGATGATAGATAGATAGATAGATAGATAGATAGATAGATAGATAGATAGATAGATAGATAGATAGATAGATAGATAGATAGATAGATAGATAGATAGATAGATAGATATTCAAAAGCTGGTGTTAAAGCTTTGCAGCCAAGAATCAGCTGATCCCTGTGCCAAGGCATAGAGATCCAAGCCACTCCTATTAAGGACAAACCTGTTGTTTAAAACTCCGCACATTCTTAGAAAGTCCTTGGAACACTCAATCTAGCAGCCGGAGGATGCTGCCCAAGTCCTTTCTGACACAATGAAGTCATCCTTTGGGTAGTTTAGCATTTCTAGCCCTCACAATAATTTAGCTCATACTAGCACTTACCACAATCTTGATGTGATCATGATTGTTGGACATAGCTTCCAACACAATTCCAGTTTTCTTGTGCTTGTGGTTTATGGTGTTTATAGTGATGATTAGAAAGTGAAAGATATATATTTCCGGAGGAGTTATTGTTTATGCCCTTGAAAGTTCATATTTGTTTCTCTGTGGGGCTGCCAGAAGCTTTATTTATTTAATGTATAATTATGCAACTTAAAATTAATCTGCTGAACGCAAAATTCACTGCAAAGTAAACTTTGTCAGCGCAATATATGGATCAGAACTACATAGATCCCTCATTAATTTTCATCCCAGAATTTCTGGAGGCAGTAATTTAAGAAATTATAATGTTTGTAATTTCATAAGAGCAAGCTAAGGCTGTGCAAAACAAAAATTGGATCTTCTCCATGTTTACAGGCTGACAAAAGGGAAATGTCTACTTATGTGTCCAGGAATACACTCCCTGGTAAAAATCTATCCAGTTCCCACAGATCTGGTTTGGATTTTTTATAGTATAGGTAGTCCTCAACTTACAACTGCAACTGATATTGAAACTTTCCATTCCTAAACAAGGCAGTTGTTAAATGAGTCATGCTTCATTTTATAACCTCCTTCCTACGGTTATAAGCGAATCACTGTAGTTGTTGAGTGAACGATGCAGTTGTGAAGCAAATATGGCTTTCCCCATTGTCTCTGCTTGCAGTGGGAGTGTCTCAAATGGCAATTACATGACCATGCAACCATCATTAACGATATGCCAGTTACCAAGCACCCAAGTTTTGATCACTTGGTTGTGGGAATGGTGTGACAGTTGTAAGTGTGAGGAATGGTTGTAAGTCACTTTCTTCAGTGCTATTGTAACTTTGAACAGTTATTAAGGGGATGATTGTAAGTTGAGAGTTATCTATATTGCTTTGTCTGTCTAGATCTTTTCAAAATACATATGCTGCAATTTATTCTTATCTGATAGGAAAAGCTAACAAATGTGATTTTGACTACTATCATATTGTTCCTACCAGACATTCATCCAAGATCTCTTCTGCATTAAGCCTAGACAAGACCTCCTGAATATTTTGCTGCAAAACAAATGAAGCCGCAGGTGGAAAAGGCCATCAGTGTGAAAATTAATTGGCCTTTTTACCATTTGATCAATTATAAGATATACTTATTCTACCTGGAGAATAATAAACACATAATCCCTTAGCCCTTCCTAACTGCTTCCCTCACAACCATCAAATAATATTTGCGTGAATGTGTGTATTTTGTATATAGGTACCCTCCTGAGGGATTATTACCTTGACATAGTGGAAAATTCATAACTCCAAAGATTTGGCAAGCAACCTAATAGGAGTTTCTGTGTTATATCCATATTGGTTAGGTCAAAATAGAAGGGGTAAAGCTAAGAATAATGAAGGATGAGGGCTCCTTGTCAGACAAACGCTTCAAAGTCTCTAAATACCTGGCCAACGCCGGCTTATCAGCTAGTATTAAATAAAGTAGTAAAATAGAAAGGCATTGTATCTATAAGCTCAAAACATTCTAACTGGTAAGAATAAATATGGGAGGAAGGATGACATTCTGGTCTCTGTTTCAGATGTTACAAAGCATCTGCTTGTGTTCTAGAAAAGCCTGATATTAAAGTTGTCTTTATTAGGCTTAATAAACTTGGCTAAAAAGTTTGAACCTGAATAAAACATTGTGATTTAAGTCCAGCAGGCTTCACTAATTCTAAGGTAGCATTGATTGTGTGCAAAAATAATTTCAAGTATTTTCTTCCCTACCACAGTACTAACAGCATTGAGAAATAAATAGGGTTTCATGTGCAAAATCATATACAGTACAGCTTTAACTGCATAATCTGTTTTTCTTCCAAAAGAACACTCATCTATTTTTTAAAAAATGCATTCTAGAGGTAGGATAGATGGACGAGAGGGAAAGAAATGGCAACATAAAAATATAGTAATATTTTAAAAGCCTAAATACATATCTGTATGCAACTTTGCAGCCCACATTATGAAAGCACACACCATGTGACTCCAATCTTGTCATACAGCAGCCAACCCCTTCCTATGATCCCTAATCTCTCACTAGCAGTCTCTGCTTCTCTCACCATTTACTATTCAGCTCATGCCCTCAGGCTGCGCAGAATCCAATCATACATCCACTCAGATTGCTTGTTGTATGGACAGGCTGCCTAGAAAGAGAAGCAAGACGAAACATTGCCAGTCCTATCCAACGTGGACGAAGAGAGCTAAAGTTTCTAAGCTGGCCACAGTCATTTGCTCTGCTCTCTCTAACACTACTAACATTATCCTAACACAACCATGCAAGGAGATATGCAACTACAGAGAGAAAAACTGAAGTAGCTGAACAAGAGAGAAGAGTGGATTTTTACTGCAGCTGCCAAAAGATCACCATCCAATTTCATGGCCAAGTTCTTGGCTCCAGAAAGAGAATAATCCACTTTGTGTAGGTTGAAAGTATAGCCTATTCTGGTCACCCAAAGGTGCTTTTTCAGGAGGCAAATGGACTTTCTTGTTTTTTTCTTTCAAGATATTTCGCTTCTCATCCAAGGAGCTTCTCTGTACTACTGTTAGTAATTGCATAATTGTGCTTTGCTATTATTCTCCATATCCTTGATCTTTCTGGTGATACTATAATATTAACACAATGAATAATAGAATAGACGTTTAACTAAAGATCATCAAGTCCAAGCCTTGCATGGTACTGGATCCAACAGAGTATTTCTGACAGATAACTGTTAAGTCTCAGTCTGAAGATCTCAGTAACAAAGAATTCACTCTTTCATGTGACAACATGTTCTCGTGGCTGACAACTGATACATCACAAAATCCTCTGTGATGTCTAGCCTGAAACTTCTTTCTTGTAGTTTTAACCTATTGGTTGTGGTTGTATCCTTTGGAGCAGCAAAGAGCAAGTCCACTCTCTCTTCTGTGCGACAAGTCTTCAGATATTAGCAGAGGTGGGCTGTTACGGGTTCACCCTGATTCAGGAGAACTCATAGTAAATGTTATGGCCGGTTCAGAGAACCTTCAAATCCCACCCCTGGCTGACCCCACCCACCCCTCACATGGGTAACATGGGTAGCAATCCCATGTTGCAGATAGTAAATGTCTGCTGTGACTGCAGCTATATAAACCTTTGGCCTTCTGTCTCAATCTTACAAATAGTTCCATGCTACAATCTCATTTTCTGGCAGTGCTTGCATGCTCAGAGGCATTTCTCTTCCTTAAGATAGTATTCCAAGGCTAGGGATTCACTAAATATGCCAGTTTAAGAACTCTTGTCGTCATTACTTCAGCAAGCCTAAAGTAATTTTGATTTCTCTGCTGCTTTGGGACTTTATAGTGTCTCACTACAGTGTCAATAGATCTGGATAGCATCATGATAACAGAAGAATGTTTTGCTGACAGCTCAGAAACACAGCATGGTGCTAAGTTATTATTAGTTTGACATCCATCTGCTCTTTTCCCCACCCACCCCCTTATACAGGGATTCAGATGTCCTAGCAAGCTGTACTGTTTTATTTTAGTGTATTTAATATTTTTAAAATATTAATATTTTACTTAGACCTTAACAAAACTCTTGGCTCAAAGTTTCCATTTCGTCCTAGAAAGGCAATGCTAGCACATTTGTATGTATGCTTCTGTTCTGTTTAAGTTGGGAGAAAGGGTTGCTCCCTCTGTTAATTAGAATGAAGAATGATGCCAGTCTCTGACAATGACTCTCTGTTCGCATCCCTTGATCTTCGCAGTAAATGTTTCAACTGGTTAATCCTAAAAGGAGTCCAAAATGTCATTTGCCATCTGCAGAAATGAAGAAGAAGAAGAAGAAGAAGAAGAAGAAGAAGAAGAAGAAGAAGAAGAAGAAGAAGAAGAAGAAGAAGAAGAAGAAGAAGAAGAAGAANAGAAGAAGAAGAAGAAGAAGAAGAAGAAGAAGAAGAAGAAGAAGAAGAAGAAGAAGAAGAAGAAGAAGAAGAAGAAGAAGAAGAAGAAGAAGGCAGAGCACAAGAGAGAATATTAAAGCCCATGGAGCAGCCATTCATCACCGTAATTTCTCTAGGCAAGGGTGTCAAACTGGCGGGCCATGGGCTGGATGTATTACGTGCAGGCCAAGCCCACCCCAGCTCTGCAAAGGCAAAAAACATCACGATACATCATGCTATGTCATGTTGTGATGTGATTGAGTTTGACATCCATGCTCTAGAGTGAAACAGATTTAGGCTAAAGCCATGTACAGCTCTTGAAATAGAATCCAGGAGAACTGACATCCTGACCAAAGGGAGTATCCTGCATGATGTTTCCCAGTTGCTTTCTTGAAATACACATTATTAAGGGAAACGTTAGAAGGAAGCCATAAATTAGCCAGGCCATTATAACAAGCTACAAACTAGAAAATAATCTGATGGACTAACCGCTGATAGTTGTCAATCTTGAATAAAATTCTGGATTCTCATCCGTTGTTTGCAGATGTCAGAATTATACATCTTTTGCCAGTTTGAGCAACTTCTCTATATATGTTAGGAACACAGACAGAAATGGCAGAAGCAGCAAAGAAACTATATTGCATACTCAAGAAGTTTGCAGAAATAGGTGATTCCTCTTCTAGAAATGTAGTTTCTAGCCTACATATTTCGTGAGAGAGGTCTACTAAACTGTCCACTATGAAAACAATGCTTTGTTATTTTTACTCATATAGGGAGCCATTTAGAAATCCATTGTGGCTTCCCAAAGTATTCCTGTCTGCAGTTATTTCCTGCATGAATTAGGGCTTGGAACTGAAGGACATCACAACAGTGAAACTTTGTCAGAACAAACAGCAGTTGGATATTTGGGGGTTCACTATCTAGTCAAACCTTCCCAGCATAATAGCATCCATAAACATTGGATTTGAAAATACAAAGTCCAGGCTGGCATTATCTTTCAAATGTCAAATTCATTGGACAGCTTTGAACAACTCACTCCTTCTCAGCCTAACCACTGCATGGTCTTTTCTACAATGCTGGATCTTAAGCCCTTGGGAGAATATATATATATATACACATACATACACACACACACACACACGCTCAGAGCCATATATATATATATGGCTCTGAGCGTGTGTGTGTGTATTCCAGCATAACTCTGGAACGCTTCGAGCAATTTCAACCAAACTTGGTACACAGATGACTTACTCTCTGGAGAAAAATACTATGAGGGTAAGACACCCCTAACACTCCTCAGGGTGTGTGTTCTGTTAAGATACAGCCTGTTGTGCCGTACTGGCTTCTACTGTACAGTGCAGTGGAGTTGCCATGGTAACGGCTTCACAGCACTCCACAAGGGGGCTCCCTCTGATAAGGGGGAAAATTCAACATTAGAAATTATGTTTGGTCTGAACATTTTTTCCCTTGTAAATAAACACTGGCCAACACCAGGTTATTGGCTAGTTGTAAATAAAAATGCTTAAGAAATGGTCCCCCAAAAAATGAACTTACCTCTCTAAGCTTGTCCATCTCATTCTGTAACACTTGCTTAGCCAAATCACTCTCAATGAGCCGTTGGCGCAAGTCTTCATTTTCCTCCTCCAGTTTAATCCGTTTTTTCTCCACTGCTTCGAGTTCATTATGGAGACGTGCAGAGACATCTTTGGCTACCTACAGGCAACAGTCAAGAATAGTGCAAACCTCAGTCCTTGGTTCTGATACACAACATTCAGGCACAAGTTAATCAACAATCTATGCACCAATACAGACTTGGAGGATTTAGATATTTTACATATATTAACAAAAGGCAATCACTAAAACAGGAAACACACAAGTGAGTCATTGTCTGTGAATAATGTGCCAAGGCTTTGTGTGTCTTACCAAAAGGAATATATGAGCTATTCTTACACTAATTTTACAGATCATGTCTGCAATTAGAGGAAATATGGAGGGGGAAATAAAGTTATTTGCACATCCTCCTGGTGTCCCCCCTTCTTCGCAATAAGCAATGTGTCTCTATATTCAATATATGAATATTATGCCCTTCTGCGCTACACTGCTCAAGAAAATTACAGCTTTTGTAGAGTGAACCTTTCACCCACAGTGGTGCATAAACAGTGCCTCTTCTGGTTGCAGGAAAGGGAATACATATTTATAAGCTGCATCAGAAGGTTTCAGATACACGTACCAGCAGGTTTTATGAGCAGCTGTTAATATGAATGATAGGGAATCTAGTCGCAAATCCCTATTTCCAGTACATTTAGGCTTTCCCACGTTTATCTCTTCCTATGTCTTACAGTCCACAGATAGAACGGGAATCAAATGGATAGTGCTATTATTTTCTGATGTTTGATTGACTTTAAAAAAAAAAGAATAAGAATTCATGAAGAACATGAATTAAAAGTTCATATGTCCAAGAGAAGCTATTGATTGATTCATAATCATTGACATGAGCAAATGGCCAGGACATAGAGTTTTGCAATTTGGGCACCAAATACTCCAAGTACAAGTACAGTCCTGTTATGAACATAGAATCCAATGACCACATGTAGTAGAATAACTAGAGTCTTAATTGTTGGATTATTGGCTCGTTGAGGAAATTTTCTCAATGCAGTCACTCTAATGAGAGACAGAGATTCAGGAGAAAAGATGTTAGGACTTTCTTTGTTCTGACTAGGGGCCCATGCAAGGAAGCAGAGAACATAAGGAGAGATTTCATGTTAGGGTTGGACCTAAAATTTAGAAAGCCCTGTAAGAAAGAAACATTAAGGAAAATCTGGCAAGAAACATTTAGTCAAGTATGAGTTTGTATTTATGTGTAGAGCTGCATGCTGGATCTTGGATTGGGGAGCTTTTGTGTCTGTTTCTGCCCTCTATATCCGTGTTTGCTTACACCACTTACTGATGACTAAGTACCAGATCTCAGCTTTGTATAATTTGTGCCAGCTAAACTATTCTCTCAAATCTCTACCATGCTGTGGCACTCTAACCTTGCATGCAGAAACAGTTACTTAAATGCCCTAGGACAGGGGTCCCCAACCTTTTGGAGCTCAGGGACCACTAAACTCATAATTTTAAATCCCGCGGACCACTAATATGTTCTGCCTAATGACTAGCTGGCTGGCTGGTGGTCAAGTGACTGGGTGGACGTGGCCAACTTGATGTCACTCACGCCGAGGGGTGCCTCGCAGGCCTCTACTCACCCCTCCCCTCCCAGCCACTCCTCACCCATCCAAACTCCTTAGGGCCCCAATAGGAAGCAGTTGTTGGAACTAAGCAGTCCACATGAGAAAGAATTGGCAAAATAGCTGGATCAGTTCAAATTGGATCCTACCAAGAAGGAGGCTCAACAGAAGTACTTCATTGAGGACTATGGGCATAGGCTTTCCAAGCAGAGGGAAGACTTGTGAGAGTGCAAGGCCATGTACTGGCACCTGGAGGCTCATCAGGCTGAGATGGTCAGCCAGTTCCAGGCCATGATGCAGTCCCACTGGAACAAGGCCTTTCAGCTCTTTGCCACCAGCTGCACTTTCCTCCAGCCTTCACCCAAAGCCCCACACCATGAGGAACATAGTAGAGTTAATTCCTTGATCTAAGTATGATAGGATGTCTCAGTAGACGTCATCCCCTTAATTCTCTAGATATATCTGTTCTAGTCAAGAAACTGAATTAGAACTGGAGAGATCCAAGTTGAAATCCATCATTAGCCAAATTCACTGGGTAACTTTAGATCAGTCTCTTATTTTCAACCCAGCTTATGTTTCTCTCATTGTAGGAGTAAAATAAAAGGACATTTCCCTGCCCTGAACTCTTGGAGAAAAGATGGGATATAAATATAATAAATAAAAATAAGTAATAGATTCCTACACCCACCAAGAAGCAGCACAGAGTGTGTCATCTCTGCTGAATCATATGTTCACAAAGATTTTTGGCATATCCCACATACACTATATTGCCAAAAGTATTTGCTCACCCATCCAAATAATCAGAACCAGGTGTTCCAATCACTTCCATGGCCACAAGTGGATAAAATCAAGTACCCAGGCATGCAGAATGTTTTTACAAACATTTGTGAAAGAATGGGTCGCTCTCAGGAG